CTAGAGAAGTATGACATCTGGGGAGAAATTAGCTCATGAGGGGAGTTTGTGTCATGTGATCCTTAGACACCTTGGCTTTCGGTAGAAATTTCCAGTAAACTTCTCACCCTCAGAAGAGAAGCTTTACAGAAATTTTACAGACAGAAATTTAAATTTTACAGAAATTTACAGAAAATTTACAAACATAAATTTGGAAGATATAAGTGTCCATCCATAAACAGTTGGATAAAAAGATGGGGTACATATGTATAATGGAATATTAGCCATAAAAAATAATGAAATCTTGCCATTTGCAGCAATATGGATGGACCTAAAGGGTATTATGCTAAATGAATTAAGTCAGACAGAGAAAAATGAATACTTTATGATTACACTTACCTGTTGAATCTAAAATACAAAATGAACGAACAAACAAACCAGAAATAGACTCAAAAACCTGAAGAACAAACTGGAGATTGACAGAGGGAAGAAAGGAATGGGGGATGAACAGAAGAGGTGAAGGGGATAAAGAGGGACAAACTTTCAATTATAAAATAAATAAGTCAAGGGTATGAAAAGTACAACATAGGGAATACGGTCGATAATATTGTAATAACTTTGTATGTTGACAACTGGTAACTACACTTACCATGCTTGATATTTAATTGTGGGAGTTCTTCACATTATTCAACATTTTTGAAATGTTCTTGTTCTTCTTACCTTCTTACCCTTTTATTCTTCCATATACATTTTAGAATCAACTTGTTCAATTTTATAAAAGCTTGCTGGTATATTAGATGGAACCATATTGTATTAATTTATGGAAAATTGTCACTACTACTGTAGAGTCATCCATATGCACCATGTATTTATTTACTTAGGTATTCTATTTATTTCCAATAAGTTATGTAATTTTCCTCATAAAGTTCTTGAGTATATATTTTATTATGTTTGCCTATTGGTACTTATGGCTTTTAATGCTATCCTAAATGTTACTTTTTAAAGAATTTTGTTTTCGAATAGTCACTCATAGAATTAGCAGTACTGACTTTTGTGTGTTGACAGCATATTCACCAACCTTCATGAATTCTCTTTTGAGTTATAGTATTTTATATATAGCATCTCTTGGATCGTCTAAATTGACAGTGATGTGTGAGTATCTTTCTTGCTAAGCCTTATCATTTTTATTTCCTTTTCTAATTTACTAGAGTGGCTGGAACACCCATTATAATATATATAAAAAGGCAGAAAGAACAAATATCTTCGTCTTGATCTTCAATGCTGTAGATTTTGGAGAGATGTCCTTTCTCAGGGAAAGGAAGATACCTTTCATTCCTATCCAACTAAAGGTTTATTTCCAATAAATCATGAATACGTGTTGAATTCCACCAAAAGTTTTTTATAAGTCTACTGAAATCATGCTAAGCATTTCCTCCTTTATCTATTAATAAGGTAAATTACCTAAGTGAGTTCTTTAATATTATTGTATCTTTGTGTTCCTATATATAACTTTATTGTAATGTATTTTTAAATACATTTATAGAAATGAGATTCTAATATAAATGTGAAATTAGCCTATTAATTATCTGTCTCATACACTTGTTATCCAGATAATACCAGCTTTATAAAATGACTTAGAGATCTTTTTTCTACTGTAAACAATTTGTATAAAATATGGATTGGTTTAATAGAACTTACCATTGAGATATTTAGTTTTCAGTGTTTTATGGAGGGTCATTCAAACCTGGTTTAACATGCTGAATGTGTACAGATCTACACTTTTCTCTTTCCTGAAGTTCATTATAATTCAAGTGTGCCAATGCAGTTTGATTTTGTGGGTTCTGATTTTGTTGTTACCATTACTTGTTTGTTTTTTATGTCATTAATTTCTGACTCTATCTTCATTATTTCTCTTTTCTTGTATTTAATGTATGTGTTTACTCTGATTTTTAAACAATAATTCTCAGATGGTTAATATTCTGTTTTTCTTCATTTAACTGTCTTTTACAACTTTTGACATTCAGCTATAACTATTTTGTCGTTACTGCTGTATTATTTTGAAAGGCAGTGTGTTTTGTAAGTACGTGGACTCTCAACCAAGACTGTTGGGATATCAGGACCTAGGTTGACATTACGTGATACAATGTCCTTATTATCTCATATTTTATTAT